AACTCGAGTTGTGTAAGGCATTCCAGATGAGTGTTATTGACATCCCAGTAAACAGTGGGAGCTATGAATACCACAACCTCTAATCTTAGTATATCCAATGATGGCCGAAGTACTCAAAGCACCTCCGGGGTTGTACTATTTGTAAAATTCGAAGACGCTGACGAAATTAATCTCTCAAAAACTCAACTTTAACCAAACTCTACTACCTCAACTATCTTTGGAAATCCACATTTTCCAATAGAGCTTCAATCAAACTGGTAAATTTGTCATTTATCCCTTATTAAATTCACATTATTGGGGGATCCAACAGGAGACAAACCACTTTGGAGGAGGAAAAGGAAAAATATGTCAACGCAGCTAAAACTGACTCAAAAACAACCAAGACTTTAGATATTAGATACCGCCAATTCGTGAATTCAAATAGCTTAAAGAGTCATTTTGTTACCATGACTATAGGGTACTGAGATCTTGTCAAAACAACCGCTCTGCTGTTTTGTACTGTGACTTTTATTGAAATACCAGGTAACAAACAGAATTAGGAAAAGGCTAAAATGAAGTCATGCAGTGGAAAACAAAATAAAGGCTTTTGATTATCTCTTGATGTAAGCAAAAAATCTAATAGGTGTATGTTGTGTAATAAGCTTACTGGTTCAGGTTCTTTTGATACCTCACTCGACTTTCCATCCTCCAGTTTCAGTATGGCTTTTTGTGGCATTTCATCCGAAGCCACGACATCGAAATCTGCCGGTAGTTCGTCTGGGCGAATTGGACGCGTGAGAATGAGTTGGGGTGGAGTTGGAATAAGTCTATCAGAGAAGAAGGCTAGGAGGTAGTTAAAGAAGGCGCATGCACAAAAGAGGTATTCGGAGAGCTCATAAGGAGTGATGGAGAGAGCCCAGCCTTCTGGAGTCGGCGAATTTACAAATCCTGGTTGTCCCTGGAAGGAGTCGATAAGAGGTTTAGTGACTTAAACACTTATTCAAAAATGAATAATCATTCACTTGATTAATATTTGAAGGAGAATTATGAGCAGCATCCAAATAAGCTTTAGGAAACATTGTTAATTTTCACTTTTAACCGGAATTTTAGTGATAGTTAAGCCGTTTCTGAAGATATTTAACCTTAACGGATTGAATTCTCTCTAACTGAAATCATTCAACCGCTAACCGATCTTTAGAAATAAAATGTCAACCTTGGTGGTCCTCCCGATCGAAGTAAAGGAAACTAGAAAATCTTAATTTACTGCCACTTACCTTTAAGACTTTGCCTTTTAACGCAATAAAGAGTGAATGGTCGTTTGTTAATAACTTTGAGTTCGCTAAGCTTAATTTTATTTTCACCAATCCCTTAAGCAACTATCATTCCGAAGCTCATATTAATGCGTCAAGAATGAGTGAGAGACTTACATCAACGTAGAGCACTCTGGGCTATGCATACTCATACGGCAAAAATAGTCGATAAACCGGTAATTCATTGCTGACTTTAAACTACCATGACCACACTGTATGTTACATTCCCCCGTTTCCACAGTGATCATCTTACTTTTTTCTACCTTTGTGTCGGTCTCTTTTACATCTGTGATGTTCATGACCTCTGTGAAGCCCAAATTCAACCAAAGGGCAAATGATAACTATCATAAAGCCTGCCATTTGAGATGCAACAGCATCTCTTGAAATGTTAAATTTATTATAAACTCTAGATACAAAAATAAAAACAATTTCTGAGTTTGAGACAACTGGCACACCACCGGTACACAATGCTGGTAAGTTTTAAAGTTCATAGAAGAGAAGAGAGTTCTTACAATTTTAAAAAACGCATCAGTCATTTGTAAAACTACAATAAACTTCAATAGAACTTCCCAATATACCATCTACCCGTCAACCTTCCAGCATTATTCAGCAACCCCTCACTTCCTAGAAAAATTACAGTTTGCAATCAAAACATTCCACGTTTATTGCGTCACTTGTCAGGCCGTCCGACATTGAGCGCACACAAAGCAAATTCGCACACCTGAGAAATCACGTAATTTGACAAAATGAATTAAGCCACCTCATCATATCTCCGTAGGGTAACAAGGTTTTTTTGTAGTGACAACTAAGTGACTAACGGTGGGCCGAATTAGAGGTCAATGTTCATCGATGGGCACCGAGTGGTATTGATGCCTAAATGAGCTGATTAATTCGGACGAGTGTCAGAATGCGAAGTTCTTCAAAGAAGAGGAGCCAGAATACCTCTCATCTATCAGGTGTTCAGGGCTTTATCCTTAATGAGCAAGTAAGGTATCTATTTGAAGGTAAGGATAAACGAAAGTTGAATATACTATATATATGCATGCCATATGCCATTTCGATTTTAAAAGCTATTGCCACAAGCAGAGTTGATATTCGTCATGAAGGTGGAGGATAAATATTCGATTGATAGTGCCACCCGAGGCGATAAAGACTAATAAGGGTAAGAGAGAAGGCACTCTGAATGAAAAGCTGCCATGTGAACAATTCGCCTTGGTGAATCATTATTATTTCAGGACCATCTTTGTCTTCATTAAATCCGGTCCTCATAAAGAGAAATCGGGGGGTTGGGTATGGTTATCTCTCCTAATTTAATTTTCTCCACTGACACTCGATTATTTGATCTTCAAGAGATAGTCGACTGGTGGAAGCAAATAGCACATGACTGTCCTAACATCTAATTTCCAATCTTCCTCAAAAGCTTACTTTATTCATCAAATGCTCCATTATAAGCACCATTTATCCAATAAGTGCTCTGGCTGGAACATTAACTGATAGGAAAAAAGTAAACAGATGATCGAGCATGCAAATGTGTCTACGATGAGTATTCCAAGTCCGAGAAATATTCTTTTCCACTAATGAAGCCATCTTCGATAAACGAACGTCAACAACACAGTTAATCTAATTGACTTGGAAATGTATAAAGAACACCACTCCTGCCTCCATGCTCCTTCGCGAGTTGAATCGAGTTCCAACAAATCCTGATTTTTAACAGTTGTGTAGTGATTTGTGCTAACTATAATGCATAAACTCTCATGCGAGGCCACACGTGTAAATAGAAATACTGAGTACTAAATATCAATCGCGTATATATTAAAGTACAAAAAAATTGACCACAGTAATTTCTGTGTGGAATCGTAATATTGTCAGCCTAACATTTATTTAGTAGAAAACGGGAGAGGAGGGAGGGGGGGGGGTGAAAATTAGCCTGACAAAAGTAGGAATTAAACGTGGAAAGACTTTTTCTTGGAAAGTTGTGGGAGGCAGTAAGAGTCTTAAAGGCCTCATGACAGCCAACGGCCTTTTAGCTCTTAGGGATTTGAATATATTAGCAAAATTTGCCCATATGGAAATATCAGCGAATGCAAACTATCACTCTTAAAAATTGATACTTCTTGAATAGGTCAAGCCACTGTTGTTTAGGGGGTAGCAATTGCGGCCGAGAGGGGGGGGATATTTGAATATAACCCAGATAATTTCAAGGAAATGATCTTTAATGCATTCAATCTCCCATCAAGATAGTGTTCATTTAAGTAGTTTATTTGACGATAACTGCCGTCATTAACATCTCACCTGAATGTATAGTTTCAATGGATGAGGAAAAAAGCATATAATCAAGAATATCTCGTTTTCAAAGTGGGTGTCGTTTGCTGTTAAGATCAAACATCAAAATAGAAAAGAAAGGTTGAAGTCACTCATGTACTTAGACCCCCCACTAAATCCCATTCATCCACGCAGGTCTGATATCACAACTGCCCATTTGCATTAAACTTAAAGCACTAACAGGTATGGGAGACGATTATTCCATCTGCTTAATATGCACCGACAGGATTCGAGATTCGATCCTAGCTTTGGGATTTAAACAAAAGTGATTTTAGAAAAGGTGTGGGAACAGGCGAATCTGAGGCTTAGGCGATCCAATGGAAATACAAGTGAAATAGTTAACAGAACAATAAAACATGCGTGGCGTGAGAATCGTTTCATCCAGTTTAGAATGGTTGTCAATGCCCACCGCATAATAAGCCTTGAATTTCATAAACGTTAGCTCACTCAAAAATCCATGGCCCAAATTCCGACATCTGAAACATCGTGATATACCATTGTGAACTCTATTAACACACAGACTTTTGCTCACCTTCACCCCTATGGGCTATTTTACCATTCTCCATGTTTAGACACACTACATTGTAAATTGCTTGCTTTGTCATGCAAAATGTACAGTATAAGACAACACCGTTAATGGCGACAAAACCGAAGCAAAATACTCATTAACCAATCGTGTTTTTACCTTTCTTCCTATGCGCCAATCACAAACTGCGCCACAGTTGGAATAAATGGAAATGGCCGAGGAATAGACAACAACAAGGACGCCAACCTACGCAGAGAATAAGGAAGCCTGAATGATCAACACTTACGTCAGAGGCTTGCGTTCGGGTGAAAACCAAAGTTCACCGTGCTTTCCCCTTCCACATCTCCGTGATCCGTCTTACACTTTCACCCATGCCTCTGTGTAGTGACACCAAACAAAAAATCCAAAATTTTCTCCATTCATCCTCTCCTCAGTGCACTAATTAAATTATGGACAAATTTTTAAGTATCTATAATAAACTCCTCTATCCACGTTTGGCCCGTCTTATACCACAAATAACAATACAGATACAAATGAAGTAAAATCACTGAATTTATATCCACGAGTTCAAGAGTTCAGGAAAAAGTCGTGGATTCAAAAGAGCAGTTGTCGAGGTTACGATACATATATCAACAAATACAATATATTGCGACGATTTATAATATTCTCCATGTTAATGCTAAACCTGAGGCCACTGGAGACAATCACTCACCATGTATGGATACTATTCATTTAAGTATTATCACTGCATTAAATCAACGTAACAGGCGTCAAACACTCTCATCTTTGGTAAGAATTTAATTCTCTGACTGAATAGACTTAATATTAACAACTGTTGCTAAACTTCACTCTAGTTGCCGATAGCCTTCTTTCATGCCTTAGGCAAAAGGGACTTCACGTACTTGATATCACCTTAGTTGTATAAAAAAGTTAATTTAATAACCCTTAGGGAAATACTCCATCTTTTCCACGAACTCATCGTAAGGCTACTTTATCATGTTTAGATCAAGCCTAAATATCAACAGTTGGTTATTAGAAGGGTGAAAATAGGAATCAAGATGTCATGAGCTGTTTCTCAGTTAAATCAACTGATCAATAAGTTAAAAAAATTGCTGACGTGAACTCAACCTCAGTCCAAGGACCAAATTCTAGAATTTAAATGAAGGAACATGACAAAGTGAATTACAACTAGTAAGTAAAGCGTGGAAAGCCATATGAACCGCGAATTCAAAAGAAGCAAGATCCCTCATTCACCCACTTTTGTATCACTCGAATTTAAATGCTTTCTCGTGATTGAAATCAGTAAATGGTGTGCTATACAGTCAGCGACTTCTAAAGAAAAATTTGGCTAATTGGAATCCTCAGTCAATAGAGGAGGATATTTCACGAGTGGAATACAACTAGACATTGATAATATTTTCTCTGTCGATGCCAAACTTGAAAGCATTAGAGACAAACACTCACCTCGTCTTGACATATAAAGACATCTATATACAATCAATTTCATGAGTTTCTCAGTACATATTCACTTTTAGTTAAGACAATCAAAGTGTGAGGACTTCTCCCTAATTAAATTAAAGGAAACCCAAGGTTGCTCATTACGTCTTGTACCTTGTACGGATTGTGAATGCTGAATATAAGGAAGAAAAAATTACCTTTCCAATTTAATGTGAAACTTTGAAACGCCAGGAAGAAGCTATTAGCCAATACGTCCATTTAAAAGACGCCAAGACCAACTATTCTACAAGAACTTGATGAAATTAGATGTAAAATGCTCTCACCACCCACTCACCCACCCAGAGGGCGGAATGACGAACCACAGATATGGGGAGTGGGGTTTCTAACCGGAAGAAACAACTAGTGTAGTGTCAAATTAAAGCTCTGTAATCATATTTAAAATCACCTGAATTCAAGGCAGTAT